CCCTCTTCTTCGAGTCAATGCCCTACAACCTTGATGTGAGCCGAGGGGGGAAGGTTCCTGGGGGCAGGGAGGGATCTGCTGGCCGAGCTGTTGATCCCAGCGGTGCCCCCGGGGTGCCCGAGCTGCTCTGCCCCCCCCGTGCCCTGCCCCCTGCCACGTCCCAGTTGCGTCCCAGCGCCATGGGGTGCTTGGGAGCTGCCTGTGGTTCGGCCAAATATGCTGTGCTCAGAGCTGGGGGCTGTGAGGTGCACGTGCCTCAGCAAGCTGTCTGTCAGTCTGTCCCTCCCAGCCAGCCACAGGACTGATCGACTACGACCAGTTGGAGGTGACGGCGCGGCTCTTCCGTCCTCGTCTTATCATCGCCGGCACCAGTGCGTACGCCCGCCTCATCGACTACGCTCGCATGAAGAAGGTGGGGGGGGACGGGACGGGACGGGACACACAGGCTCCATCCCGGGTGGCGGGAGCTCTCGTGCTGGTGACAGCTTGAGGGCAGTGACCACGGGGATGGGGACAGCCCGTGACTCCCCGTGCCCCTGCGTTCCCAGGTGTGCGAGGAGGTGAAGGCGTACCTGCTGGCGGACATGGCGCACATCAGCGGGCTGGTGGCAGCCAAGGCCATCCCCTCGCCCTTCGAGCACGCCGACCTGGTCACCAGCACCACGCACAAGACCCTGCGTGGCGCCAGGTGAGGCTGTGTCCTGCTGCCCCCTCCCTGGGGGGGACGCCCGCCCGTGGCGTGAAGCAGAGGTTGCGTCCCGCGCTCTGGCTGGGGCCAGAGCTGAGCAGGAGGGACCCGCCGGGGCGGGATGGTAGCCAAATCGGCACTGCCTTGTGGTTCCTGGGGGGCCAAGACCCTGCCCTGGGGTTACGGGGGGCGGGTGGGAGGAGCGGTGCCAGCTCTCTCTCGCCGCCAGGTCGGGACTGATCTTCTACCGCAAGGGCGTGCGCTCGGTGGATAAGAAGACGGGCAAGGAGATGCTCTATGACCTGGAGGACAAAATCAACTTTGCCGTCTTCCCCTCCCTGCAAGGGGGACCCCAAAACCAC